GGGGGGGAGGGGGCGGGGAGGTGGCAGCTGAATGTGAACCCTCTCCCTGGGGCTCCGCCTGCGACGAGGATTCTTCCCAGGGGCACCATGTGGAAGCGCAGGTGGGCGCTTGGATGGTGGACCTGGAGGGGCTCCTAACTCGGCACTGAGCCCCACTGGATGCACCGTGTTCCGGCGAAAAACGCTCAGGAGGCCTGGACCTCCTAGCCCATGTCGCCCGATGCTCGGTTGGTTGTTGGACGTCCTGCAGTATAGTAGCAACTTGATCCTGTAGCCAGTTTGGACCCTGCAATTGTGCAGCAGTTTTCAGTTGGTCCAATAACTGTTTTAAATCAGTCATTTTTCTGGTTGTCTTTCAAGAGGCAAAGCAGCTGCAGGGGTGAAGCTTGCTTGCCGTGTGGCAAATCCAGACTGAACCAGTACTACTCCGCCCCCCTCCAGACCACTAAGGAGGCCATCCTGCAACTCTTGAAACCGGCCAATCAGGTAAGTGACCATCCCCCCTTAACACTAACTTAACCCCGTACTTCCGAGTTCCCTGTCCACCCTGTCATGTAGTCCTTCCGCCTATTTTTCTTTTCTTTTGCTCCAGGACTATCTATACAGAGTTATGTGAAAGAGTCTTGTGTAAATAGGTTTCTAAATTATTTCATAGAAATTATTATATAGTAAATTCGCAGTGTGAGAACTGTGCTAATTTATAACAGTTTTAGGTATATAGGCATACTATAGTTTACTGGAATTTAGTTGTTCATAAAGAGGATTTACAGTTTGTGACAAACATGCTATATATTGTAGTTGTGTGAAATTATGTAGTTTAGTTTACTTGATTTTTGCAGTGTATTGTGATGTGTGTCTGTGTAAGCCTTGTTAGGTATACTGCAAAGAAAAGAAATGGCAAACATCTGATTAATGTATAACTAACTAGAGAGGTGCATGTAGAATGGACAATTGCCTTAAACATATTACCCAGTGCTCAGCTCTGGCACCCTTCAAAAGCGACCTAATTAAAATCTGCTTCTGATATTTTAAGGGCCAACTATGGTATCAGCCCTCCATCTCTGG